ACAGCCAGCGCGGGCGGGGCCTGGGGCCGGGCTCATGGCAGAGACCCAGCCCAGCGCGGGGCGGGGCCCTGGGGCCAGGCTCACGGGCAGAGACCCCAGCCCAGGATGCGGCCCTACCTCACCGCCATTGGCATACTCCATGACGAAGCACAGGCGATCATGGGTCTGGAAGGAGTACTTCAGGGCCTGCGAGGGGAGCAGAGCTGGAACCACCACCCGGCCACAGGCCAAGGCCGAGGTCTGGGGGTGAGTCAAGGTCTTGGAAGCTGGCAGGTCCTGGTGACCCTGTGAGGCTGCCCTGCAGGGCTGGCCTGGTCACCAGCCCATTCACAGAGACACGCACGAGAGACCAGCTGCAGGCCTCGGGCTGCGGACCCTCCCCAGCGCTCAGATCCCCTGCCACCCCTGTCCCCACAGAGACCCACACGAGGCTGGACACGGTCGGGCCAGCTGGACGTGCAGAGCTCAACGTGGCGTCTGAGACAGGACCCACTGAAGGGTGGAGGGCCTGCCAGAGCGTGTCTTTCCCTCCCAGTCCAGCCGGACAGACGGAACGAAGGGCAAAACAGGCAAATGAGCGAGTCTGGGCAGCAAAGGCGCCTGCTCTCAAATACGGCGGACGTCTCTCTTGAGAAACTGTCATAGGAGCAAGACTGCCCCAAGTGTGACCGCTTCTCTGCTCTGCCCCTGCTTTGGGCCAAGCCGTCCCCTGGAGCGAGGACGCTGACCTAAGTAGAGGGGATAGCCCGTTGGGCAGCCCTGGGGACAAGACCCCAGAGGCCAGCCCCAGGCACTCGGGACCCAAGTCCTGACCCTCATCCACCCAAATGCTGACGAGCTGCTCCCACCGCCCGGGAGCAGAGCTGGCCGAGCCCCGCAGAGAGGCAGACTAATTCTCGCTAATTCCTTGCTGTTCCACACACCCTCCCTGGGCCAAGGTCCCCCAGGACAGGGACCCTGCTGGCGTGGCCTTCTGTGCACCAGCGGCAGCACACACAGCACCCCCCGCGACCGCCGGCCCGAGTTCTGAGCACGCAGGATGTCCGAGCTGCAGAGGCTGGCCCGTGTGAGCCCGCCCAGGAGGGACTCACCGTCAGGAAGGGGTGCCGGGAGTTCTGGAGGACACGGTTCTCTGTGAGTGTGTGGGCCACCTCGTCCTGGAGGACAGGGCCCGGTGAGCGGCCCGCTTCCACCTGGGGCCCCCGGCCCCGCCCCGGCCCTGCCCCTACCTTGGCCACAATGACCTCCTTCTTCAAGATCTTCATGGCGTAGTAGCGGCCGGTGGCCTTCTCCTTCACCAGGATCACCTTCCCAAAGGTGCCCTTGCCTAGCAGCTTCAGGTACTCAAACTCATTCATGGTCTGAGGGCAGCAGACAGGCACCAGGTCAGGGGGCAGCGGGGCTGACAGAGGCCCGGGGCCACCACGGCTGGCCTCGGGGCTGAGCACAGGTGGGGCCCGTGGGGGTCTGGGCTCGTAGGAGATCGCAAGGCCACGTGCCCCAACTCGGAGCCCCGGGGTTTGAGGGGATGGTGGGAGTGACAGCACCTGGGCCTCCGGGTCTGGTGACCCTCCCTCGCTTCCGACCCAGGTGGTCGGCCTGTGCTAGAGTCAGGCAGTGTGGGGACCCAGAAGGCCGAGGTCCTCCTGCGCCAGCCCATGGGGACCCTTGACCGTAGATCCCCTCCGGGGAGGGGGACGGGCCTCACCACGCGGTGCTTGGGCTTGGCCAGAGACACCTCCATGTCCTCGGCTCCCGAGTTCTCGCTGGGCGAGCCCGACCGGAAGTCCATCATCTCCTCCTCCTGCCTCTTGAGCCCGTCGGCCACTGTCTGGATGGCAGTCGTCCACTCCTCCCTGCAAGGCGGTCAGGTAGGCCCCAGCCTCGCCCAGGTCTGGGGCCTCCCCCTCCACAGCCCCACTTCAGCGGCCCCCGCGAGGGCCTCAGGGAGACTGCTGCCCTGAAACCTGGGCCCGCCACAGGCGCTCAGGCCCTGCAGAGGGGCCTGAGGAGGCGGGGCCCTCGAGGCTGCAAGGAGGGCGCCAGCTCCTACCGCTCCTCGGGCGTCTCCACGTGGAAGGTGCGCTCGATGACCGTGGTCCACTGCAGGCAGCGGATGATGAAGGTGTTGGGCCGTGGCCGCTCTGTCTTCATCAGCTGGCATTCTGGGGGCAGGGGGCATCCATCTGCACCAGGCCCAGCCCCTCCTGAGCCCGTCTCCTGCCCTCCCCGCCCCAGCTGGTCCTCGGCTCTGAGCTGTGAGGCATTCTGTAGGGGTGTCTGGGGCTGGGTCAGGTTAGCCCTCCCTGGCCCTTCCTTCGGTCTCTGAGCCCCCTGTGTACCAGACCATGGCCCTCAACTGACTGGAGGTTAAGAGGTCCTGGGGAGGGGCCAGCAGAGAGGAGGCCTCATGGGAAAGCAGCTCCCCAAGCCTGAGTAGGAGCAGCCCACCATTTTCCCAACTACACAATGACCAGCGCCCCAACCTCCCCTGCTTGGAGCAAGGCCAGTCCCAGAACGGAGGCTGGTAGTGACTTGCCCTCCGGAGAGGCTGCCTGTCTGCCCTGGGGTCACTGGGCTGTACCCACCCCACGCTGCCGCCCAGGCCCTCGGATGCACATGGGAATATAAACAAGCTAGCACGCCTGGGAGCACACACACACCTGGGCCGTGCACACCAGAGAACACGCACCAGCATCACGCACACCTGGGGCACACACACACCTGCTGCTGGGGAACTGTAGGGGTGCCCCAGGCCTGGAGAGAGCCTGGATTCTGGCCCAGCCTGTGCGAGGCGGGAGGGGGCCTTGGGGCCAGCACAGGGGCCGCCGACATTCCAACGTCTAAGCACTGGCAACCGCGAGGGGCCCTGGCCGGGCTCAGCCGAGTGCAAGGGAGTGAGGAACAGTCTGCCAGGCCTGTGGGCCAAGAGGGGGCTTGGGGCCCAGCCCTGTGGGGATGATGCCCTATCCACGGGGCAGGGGAGGGAGGGAAATCTTTGTGGCCAGCCTTCTGGGTCCCTAGCACCCCCTCTTACTTAGCCCACTGGAGACACCCATCCTAGGGCCTGACTTCTCGGCCCCTCACCCCTGGATCCATCCCAAGAAGAGGCCCTGGTGCAGGGGCCCCCACCCGGCCACCTCCCTTCCCACAGGGCTCTGCTCCTCGGCCCGGAGCTCCTGCTGTCCTAAAGCCTGGTTCAAGGCCCCAGGCCCACCCACTGCTCAGGAAGGCCCTCTGGCTGGTGCCCACCCCCCCATGTGCCTCCTGAGAGCACCCCAACCCCCCGCATTCAGCGTGGGAAACACTCCCAAGGGGCTTCACCCCCCAGCAAGGCAGCCCCGCCCTGGCCGAGTCTCCTACCCAAGCCCTGAAGCCCCAGCCCCACCAGGAAGGCCCTAAGAGAAGCCTGGCGCCTGCAGCGGGGGCTCCCACACGGCCATGAGGCGGCCAGGAACAGGGTGTCTGCCTCCTAGGCCTCCCTTCACCCCGGGGCTCCTGTTTTATCTGCTGCTTCGCTGAGACTTGAGGAGCCCGGGCTGGGGCTCAGGGCTCATAGAAACCAGACCCTGCTAAAGCACCCCTCTGAGGGAGCCCCCCCCCAGTTTGGGGCCTTGTGGGGAAGGGCCCCTGCTGATCACATTAGAAGCCCTCGGGTGGGGGATGCTGGCCATGCCCCTCCCCCTGCAGCACAGGGCCAGGCACATGGCGGCGGGGGGAGGGGGCAGCGGTGTGTGGACAGGATGGCCCCCACCCCCCACCTCTGGAAGTCTGTAGCCACAGAGGCTAGAAGTTCTTCCCCGACAGCCCGAGGACAGGCCACCTCCGCTACGCCCCTTCCCAAGACCCTGGATCCAGAAGCTGAGGTCTGGTGGGCTGGGGGGCTGGAGGACCTAGGCTCCCAGGGCATTTGGCAGGGAGGGTGAGGGGCATAGGAAGGAGGAGCCTGGGGCAGAGCTGGGACTGCTCTGCCTCCCAGGCAGCAGCCTGAGGAGGGCCCGGGGGTCTGCCAGTCAGTGAGCCCATCACTCACCCGCCCACTGGGCCCGTGTCCCGCAGCAGCCCCGGCTGAGCGCTGGGAATGTGGCCCAGGCTGGAAGGCCCGCCTGGCCCAGCATCCCACTAGCCGGCCTGCCGCCATGCCTGGGTCTTCCCAGCCCATGGAGAGGGTCACACCTGTTGCTCCCCCTACCCCACTACCACCTGCAGGTATGGAACGAGGCCACTTGTAACACTTTGGCTAGAAAAAGCACCAGTTTGTTGAGTGTTTCGAGATACCCCAGGCTGGCAGTGCTGCACTCACCCTTCCACGGGCGGGGTAGCCCCGACCCGCACCCAGTGGAGGGTGGATGCAAAGGCCCAGCATGGGGTCCGGGGCCTCTGAGACCCAGTGCTGGGGCAACAGAGGCTCCCAGAAGCTGGGTGGCCCTTCCACACTCTCTTCCTGCCTCCTGCCCAGGGGCTTTGTGGAAAGAGGCCTAGCGGCCCCGATGGAAATGGGGCCCCCACCAGCCAGCTGCCCCAGACCAGGCCCTCTGGCTTCCAGAGCAAGAGTGCTCAGAACAACACGGGCCTCAGCACAGAGACCCTGGCAGCAGAGCCGGCCGCTGCCCAGTCCCCAAGGAGACTCGGAGCCAGCGTGCCCAGCCTGGTCCCCGGCCGGCTGTCGGCCCCAGACAGAGGCCGGGAACCCAGCGTGGGGGCGCCTTCCACCCTGCCCACCAGCCCAGCGCCCTGGTCCTGACCCGGCAGCCGCGGGCGCACTCACGTGCCACGGAGAAGTTGTTGAGGGGCGACTCGCGCTGCTCCACGTCCTGCGGCCGCTCCTTGTAGCCGGTGAAGGTGCCGTCGCTCTTGAGGAGGAAGTACCGGGGCCGCCAGGTTTTGATGTACTCCCCTGAGGGCAAGCGGGCGTCAGGGGCGCGGCTGCTGGGCCCCACGCCCACCCCCATGCCCAGGGCAAACCGCAGCTGTCATGCCGGCAGGGCTGCACCCAGGACGCCCTGACTCTGGGGCGCTGACCCTGATTCGCAGGGGGCAGGTCAGAAAGCAGGGCTCACTACGTGAAAGCGCGCGCCTCTGATGGCGAGCCCACCCCACAACCTGTGCTGGCAAGGGGGTGGGCGGGCACCTGGACGTGGGGGCAGGGGTACGATTGGCGGGAGGCCGGCCCAAGCCTGAGGGTCCCCAGCAACAGTGCAGGCACCAGCTACAGCCGGGGGGCTTCAGGGCAGAGAGCACTCCCCGCCCGCCCTGCATCCTGCCAAGTGGGGGCTACAGCAGTCACTGTGACAATGGCGAGTGGGCTGCCCGCCGCAGCTGGCCCCTGGCCCAGAGGATGGAGCCTGGATCCAGCGGTGCGAGGCCTGGCACCACACCCAGACTGGGATGCACAGACTTGCCTGTGACACAAGCCCACTTGGAGCACGTCTCCAGGGTGGGCATGCCGGACAGAGCCCCCTGCCACCTGTGGGACAACACTCACTGCCCAGGGGCCCAGAGCACTGCCGTGGGCCCCACAGGGAAGCCAGCTCTGGAGGGCAGCTGTGCGGTCCTGGCCCTGCATCCCACCACGGCCACCTCAGTGCCCAGGGAAGTGGCCCCCAAGTTCTGCAGCCTCAGCCGTATACAGGCGCTTGCACTTCGGCACCACGGCAGATGTCCTCTGCGATACGGCAGCGGCTGCCATTTTTCATACTGACACCCAGAAAAAATGTTTCATTTACATTTTGCCGAGCAAGGAGTTTGAACAACAACAACGAAGAATTTACTAATTAGGTACCCGCTCCAGCAGAGGACCACCGGGCAGCGGGCGGGGAGCGGGAAGGGGTCCCTGAGCTCCAGGCCAGGCTTTCCTGACAAGCTGGGCCCCAGACACAGGCACCTGGCAAAGGCCCCATCCCAGATGTGCCCCCTCTGTCTGCCCCACCCCCCCATGCAGGACCCAGGGCCTCTGGGGGGATGGATGACCAGGGCTCCAGCCACTCCCAGCACCCCTCCCCAGCAGGGGTCACCACCAACACAAGGAGGACACAAGACTCAGCCAGTCACTGGCCCCAACCCCAACAGCATTTGGCAGGCCTCCCCCCCAGTCCTGCAGAGCCCTCCAAAGCCCTGGGGACACCAGCTGGGAAGGCTGTGTGCAGCCACCTTCAGACACTGGCTCTGGCCCCCAGCCCTGGACCCCTCCAACACTCACGGGTCCCATGCAGCCTCTCGGGCACCCCTTCCTGGCCAGCACAGCCGCGGCGGGGGTGGGGGCACAAGCGGAGCGGGCTCCGTGCTCCCGCTGCTCGCTCCCACCCGCCTGCGCGCCAGTCTGGAGCTGTCGGTTCCTGATGGAGTGCCTCCCATCCTGCCAGCTGCTGCTCCCCGGGACGCTAACTGCGCGGGGAGAGTGATGAGCACCTCACGCCGCCCCGAAAATCCATCTTGATTCACCAGCTGCTGCTGCCCCCACCGCGCCCAGCACGGCCCCAGCACCGCACCCACACAGGCAGTCGGCAAGCTCCGCAGGACCCGCACACCAGGCTGGGCTCAGACCCCACTGTGGGTAAGGCTGGCAGTCCATCGGGTCCGGGACCCCCTGGAACGGGGCCCCGCCCCCTGCCACATGACTCCGCACCGACACCCCAGGAGCCTGCCTGGGAAGGTTCTGGAGCCCAGAACCAGGGGAGGGGGCAAACACCCAACACTGTTGAGCCCGTGGGGAGGGGCCACAAGCCTGCTGGGCCCTCCGCCAGCCCCCAGACCCAGGGCATGAAAGAGGGGCCAGGGCCACCCCACATGAAGGGCAAGGAGCCGACAGCACACTGTGGGGAGCGATGGCTGGCGGGGAAGGCAGCCTCCCTGGGGCCTCGGCCTCCCTTGGGCCTCCTCCTCAGCAGATTGGCACACGGGCCCCCAGAGGAGGAGCGGGAACCCTGGGGGGTACTGGGGAGGCCAGGGCCAAGACCCTGAGACACACAGCCCCCTTTCTTCAGCCCCTTGGATGCTCCCGCCTGCAGAGGTCCAGCCAGCTGGTCACTTGGGGGCTTCCAGCTGTGACCTGGGCCGTGGCCTGCATCTGAATGAGTTCAGGCCAGACAGGACGCCGGGTGGGCAGTCAGCCCAGACAGATGGGGCCTCGGGCCCTCCTCACCCCCAGGAACTGGGGGTGACACAGGATGGGGGGAGGGGAACAGGCGGCCACCCTGTGCCCCGCCGCAGCTGTGCTCTGTCCTCTGGGCCATACACACCCATGGGCCAGCAAGGGGATGAAGGCAAGACAGATGCACGGTCCATGCTTGGAGTGGGAGCCGCCAAACCTCCGTCTGGGAACAGACAGAGAAGCCCAAGGCTGCCTCTCAGGAAGCTGCTCCCTAAATAGGGCTCCCCACCATTCCCCCAGGCCAGATGCCCACCCACAACTGGGGTGATCTCCCGACAGAGGCCACGTCAAAGGTCAGCAGGTACCCAGCCCCTGCCACTCCACCCAAGCTCAACCCAGGACTTCAGAAGGGCCCCCACCCACCCTGTCCCACTGGGGTGGACACTTCAGACCAGGGCCTGGAGCCCCACATCATGGCTGGTTCAGCAGGCCCCTGTGCCTGCTGCCGGAGCCTGGAGCTGGGGGCAGGCACCGGGAGGAACCTGGGTGCCCACCCCCACCTGGAGGGTCTGTCCTGGGCGGGCAGGCAGGAGGCAGCTGCTCAGCCCCCTTGGGATTCTCTCAGAAGCCCAGCCCTGGGCCAGGGTTGAGGAGGGACCCACACTGCCCCCAGTTCCTACGGCACCACACTTACCCGAGTCCTGACCAGCCACCAGCGAAGGGGACCCATGTCACCCTGAACCCTTGACCCCAAGGCCCACCCACCTGCAGCAAGGGCTCCAGGCAAGGAAGCAGTTACCCTGGGCAGGCTCTCTGTGTCCCAGGCCTGACACATGTGAGTACCCCCTGCTGGGCGTCTCGGTGCGGGGAGGGCCTGTAAGCCCCCAGCACACAGCCCACCGGCCGCCACGCCCTGAGCTCCGTGAATACTGGGTCTCCAGCTCTCGGGGAAACTGCTGGATAAACACTTTGCCGCATTGGTGGTGGCGGTGGCAGGCGGTGGCTGGCAGGGTGCCAGGCGGCGCCGAGCTGTTTCTCCACAGCAAAGCGAGCCCCAGCAGGCCCGGGGAGCGGGCGCCAGCTGACAGCGACGACCGCGCGGTCCCCTGCCGCCGAGACATCCATCGCTTACCGACAGCTGCAGGGCGCCCACCTCCCTTCTCCAGCACAGCGAGCAAGCGTCCTGCTGACAGCAGTCCATCCGCGCAGGGCTGGTGCGGACACAGGTCATCTCAAAGCCCAGCCTGCCGGGCCTCGGCCTGTGCCCAGACCCCCGTATCCCCATGTCCCTGTCCCACTGGCAAAACGCGAGGTCACGAACAGTCGGCCAAAGCTCTGGGGCCCAGGAACCAGTGCCCGGCGTGGGGCAGGGGGCACACCCGACTCAGGGCGAGTCCTGGCCTGTTGGGTGACACATGTGGCCTGCTCCTTGCTTCTCAGGACACGGCCTTTCGGAGGGCAGCACTCCCGGGGTCCTCCCCGGAAGGGCATGAACCACCAGTTTGGAAGAGAGGAGAGCAAGGGGGTGACGTGGAGGAAGACAGGGGTTCCCCCAGCACAGCCCGAGCCTGGCTGGGCCGGCCCCATGCTGCGGACAGGCAGAGGAGGCGGGATCACCCCACCGACTGGCTCCCCAGGGCACTGAGGCCAGCGTGACGGGCTCTCAGGTCCCAGGGAGGCATGTGGTGACCAGAGTCCCAGGTCCTGCTGCACGGCTGGCCTTACTCCTTGACACAAACAGGATTCTTCACAGGCCCTGGGTCCCTGCCATCAAGCTGGCAGGGCCCCAAGGCCACAGCCCAGTGCAGCGGATTCCGGAGGCCAGGGACGGGCTGGGAGGGAGGGAGGGGCGCCGTCGGGGGCAGCACAGCCGAAGGCCCTGCGGGCTGCTCTGCTCCCTCCTGCAGCTCCAGGACAGCGCTGGCGCCAGCTTCAGGGCCTCTCACCACCTACTGCCCCCACCCACCCCCCTCAGCTGCAGCCAGCTGCAGACCACCTCGGCCTGGATGTCCCTCCTGCCCAGCCATCTCTGAAAACCCTGTCCCCTCCTCGGGCACCACACAGGCCAGAAAAGAGGCCACCCAACCCTAGCCCACCACACACCTGGCCACTGCCAAGCACACTGGAGCGGTGCCCCAGGCTCCTCCTGGATCTGCTCACTTGGCTTGGTCCCCAGGGCCTCTCCCTGGTCTGCTGGGCCCCTGGCCTGCACCCACCACCTCTAGCCTCCCTGCCCCTGGAGGCCCAGCGACCCTCACCCACATCACTGCCTATTCAGAGACACCCCAGACACGACCACTGCCCCACTGCCCAGGGGCTCCTCCCGTCCCCACCCGCTCCCCCTGCGCTGGACCCAGCGGGCTTTATCCAGCCTCCTGAGCCCTGCGTGGGTGCCTCCCTCAGCCCGTTCCTGGACTCCCTCAGCTGAGCTGGCCTCTAGGGCACCGCCTCACCTGCCCTCTCCACCGATGTGCACCTGGCCTCCCCACTGCAGGGCTCGGGGGAGCTGGGTTTGAATGACCTGGGCTGGGTCCAGGATCCAGGGGCAGCCACAGCGACACCTCTGCCTGCAGGGGCATCTGGGGCCTGCACTTTTAGGGGTAGGGGGGACCCAGGAGGTAAAGCGGGCAGCCTCCAGGCCTCTCAGTCCACCAGCATCCCCCCATCCGCTGGCCCCTGGGTCATGGGCTCCAGAAGGGACTCCTGCCCAAGTCCACATGGCATGCAAGTTCTGGTTTCTAGAACGTTTCCCAGGGACACACCTCTCACAGCTGTGCCAAGAACCTAGGAGGGACCCAACCAAACCA